TTTTTAATTAGAGAAATATATTATGGGCAGTCCGACTTCGAAGCTTTGTAACAGAATCACGAACTCAAGGCTGGTCGACCCAGGCTTTGTCAGTCCAAGCGATGACATCACTTATTATTAATCATCATAACTTTTCTTCCCTGCATCGGTCGCAGTCCACTGCCGGGGTAGGACACCCACTGAACCGGACCTCGCCTGTATGAAGCTTTGGAACCCTTGGAAGGCAAACATCTATTCCTTAGCGGCAAAATTCAACCGGTTTCGGGACAATTTGAATACGAGGAAGAATCGCCCCTAACTCCACATCCAGCATGACTCCAACTTGCAGCGCAAGCAGGAGCGTGGACCGAGCTCGGAAATATGCACAGGAAGAGAAGGTTGCTGCCAGGCGAGACCTGGAGCCCGGAATGGAATTTGGCACTTGGGGATTTGAAGGCTGAACTGGGAATTCGGACCTGTTTCGATGTTTTCGATTTTGCCGAATGGCGGATCAATCAATCAATCCAGGGTCTCGTAGCTAACCCCTTGAAAAATCCTAGGAAGATCCCCGGACACCAACGCTTGCAGCTCAACCAAGCTGCAACGCAACGAACACTCAAGATGAGAAAGAACACAGCCAAAATAGCCTGCGGAGGGAGCTCCTGACAGTGATCGACCAGCTCCCTGAATGGTGCCGTGGCTCTGGTAGAGTTCAGGTTAGGGACGCTTGTTTTTCGAAGCGTGGCCGCAGAACTTTTATGGTTACAACGGACGGCTGACCAACGAGCCTTTGCGAGAGGCACTGCACAAACCATTGTTTGCATCGGTGCACTTCCGTTTGATAGAGTCCAACAGGTGCGAACAGAGATCCGCTGCTTCAAGTTGTCACGCAGACGCCTATATACACGAGCTGTTGCTGTTATTCAGGCCCTTGCCCAGTCAGCAGATCCAGCGAGAGCAATGAAGCGAAGCAGGTATCACTTAGTCTTCATGTCTGCCCGTCTTTCTCATCGCAGTTTGGCAGCCAAGGGAACTCTTCTCTTGCTTGGCAGCGCAGCTGCACTGTGCGAGACAAGAGCTGACGGGCTGACGGGGCGTTTAAGAACTTCACCGTGCAACCGCTGTAGTGGATCAACCTTGAAGCTTCCCAGATATTTTCGAAGTTTTTGCGTGTGTCGGGCACATTCTCTTGGATCAGCTTGGAAAGCCGCCACATACCAAGGTTTTCCGAGCGGCTTCCTTTTTTCTACCCTCGGACGACGACCTGGTGACAAAATGCGCCAGCAAGTGCAAGGATGGCAAGGCCCCGCATTGCACGGAAAGCATCCTTAAACAAATCGTCGGACATTCTTTTCGCACTGGGATTGAGAGCAGAAGGTTGAGGTTGACGGCACCCACCACAATTTTCAGTGCGAATGTTGCAAATGATAGGTCAAACCGTCAAACCACAAGAGTCGGAGGGAGACTGCACCTTTCGATCGCAGGAATCACTGCGAGAGCCAGAATCGGTGCTTGCAGTGCTGCAGGAGCTGGACGAAACAGCACCTGGTGCTTGAGAGAGTTTGCCTAGGCGGATCTAATGCCGTTAATTGTGGTCAGGCGCATGAAGTTTACAGAAGTTTGTACATGTTTTGTTGTTGTTCTATCTTCGTGCTGTTATGAGCCATCTCATAATAGGTGGTCGCGTGCAAGAATGACATCAGTGACCAAGTCAGAAAAGCCTGCCGCCGTGGGATCAAAGACGCCTAAACAATGCAGGGAGAGTACCGATGCACTCAGCATGTTGTTTTTGTTGTTCGGCACAGCAGGGTTCTTCTTAGTTAAGGTCCAGCAGCTGCAACGATCTTTCTGCCAAGACAGTGCGCACTTCGATGATTCTGACAAGTTCTGGTGCGTAGCATATCAGGTGCTCAGGCGGGGCCTGAGTGGACGTTATCATGATTGGCGCATGGATGCTTCCGGCACTCGGGTCGGGTAGGGGTGGACGTGCAAAAAGCACTGCGGGACCCGAGGTTTTGGTCGTGCAATCAGCTCCAGAAGGCAATCGCTCGGTCTGGGCACTTTGCTCAAGGACTTGAGCCAGTGTGTCAATGGGTACATCATCTAACAGTGACAAGCACGATGTCTTCTAACGCGGTCCCGTGATTATAGCAATTATTTTTCGGATACGCACATCAACCAAAATTATCAATCATTCACAAAGTCAGCGAAGCAAGTGGGAAAAATCATTCACAAAATGATTTTAACAGACGCGATGCTTGCGCATGAATCTCCCGTCGGTGTGTTGTCAGCCAACCAAAAGCAACACCACGGACACGGCTGATTTCGACGGATTACCGAGGTCTTCAAAGTTCTGACCAAAGTGCGGTCCTCAGTCAGTGTGCAAGACATCGCCGAAGCTAGTTAGTCTTTTCTGTTTCGTTCCATGTTTCAAGACCCCAAACAAAAAACTCGGGATCTCGATGTCTTCCGGCTTTGCCCCACATGCACCAATGTTTTGCACAAGGAAAATTCAGCCAGGACTCACAGTTTCCTGTTGCTGAAGACCGCCTTTACCTCCCGAGACGATGAGAGAGTTGTCCTGATCTGCAAACTTGAGGATTCGCCGGCACTGGAGACTTCGGACATGCGTCCTGCCTTCGCCAGACTTGAAAGCTCGTCGGAGCACCTTGGTCGATCTGAGGCACTGAGGTCGCGCTTCTTGGAGTCGTAGTTCGCATTTGTCTGCACAACTCACGGGTTAGGTTCCAAGGTCGGCTCTGAATGCCGAACTATGTTGGGCATTCTGCCTCACTCTCCAAGACAAAGCAGTCATAATCACGGGGTGAACATGCCCAATGCTCCAACTACCCAGGAGAAACATTCGATGCGCTAGGGATCGGCAGCTTCACATGCAGGCTAGGGCACGTTTGGCACTGTCACACGTGGAAGCCACACGAACAAAGAGAATTAGCTAACCCCCATCAGATCCGTGGCACCCCGACACCAGTTGAGGCTCTCTGCAATGAGCTCGGCCCAGCAGGCAACTCTCAAGGTGCCCCGAGCTAAGAAGCATTAGGGTTTCGTGCGAGGGCTATGGCTGGGATCTGATAGATCGAAGGGCGAGAAGTTACGACATCAGGGAAACGCAAGCTCGGCATTGATAAAGAAGGCGATCGATGTGCGTGGGGAGGTCTGGGAATTCAAGTTTTGCCGAGAGCCTAAACATCCTTGCGCTGATGCAGGAGCACCTCACAGACCTGCGCATGCTGTGTGTCATCAGAGCCCTCCGAGATGAAGAAGTCAACGAGGCTCTTACATCTTTCGTGATGTCCAGAATTCATATGAGCAGTGCTGATTAAATTGGCCCGCCTTTCCGGCCTCTGGGCCTGAGATGCACGGGTCCACGCTTGCAGGAGCTCTGAAGGTGTCGAAATTCAGTGTGGACTCGCTTGAGCTGGCCTTACGATACCCCTGTCGCTAGAATCCGCCAGAATCCTCATCCAACCTTGCATGCCCCGCGCTTGCCAGCAGGATGCAAAGGAGGACGACGATGCAGCTGAAGCTGCAGCTGCGAGCCCATCAGCAGGGGCGGAAGCTTCCATTTGAACTGGAGCTCCAGTTAGACCCAGATCCAGTCCCCAGCGGAGGTTTCGTTGAGAACAAGCATATGACATTTTTTGATGAACTCACAAGCGGTACCAGAAGGTTTCTCGGAGTCTGGGGGGGCTTTTGGCCCAGCAACTCCGTGGGCACGAAGCAGCTGCGAGGGCTGCAGGCGCTTGCTCAGCTTCTGCGTTGAGCTCATAACTTTTGTGTGAAGCTTTGGCCGTCAGGCCGGATGTAATCATTGCCATGTTCTCCAAATCGGGTGTGTATCAAGGAGAGCACGTTCTGAGAACTAGAATCTCGGGTTGAAAATCGGACGCTTGCCACTGCAAAATCGGAATTTAGAGCCGCCGCGCACCCGCGCGTGCGAGCTTTCCTGCTTGGAGGATTTCGGAAGCTACTAGCCAAGTACTTGGGGACAGATGCCACAAATCCTACAAGCAGCGAGAGTGCGCAATGCATGGTGCTGTCCTAGGAGTCCCAGGACGGGACAGTCAAACGGCGCGCTTAGAAATGCTCTCGCGAAGTGGGGGCTAGAACGGCCCTACTGTTGGGTCGAAATGATCGGTTGACTGCTATGACACGCAAGAAAGATATGATTGACCTCGGCTCGCTGCACTGGCTGAGCAACGGTTGAGCCTGACGGCTAGACTAATTGCGTGACAGCAAGCAGTACAGTAGCTTTGTGCTCGAATGGCTAGCAGATTTGAGAGAAAGTCCAGGAGCCTCAAGTAGAAAATATGGCTCCTAGGGAGAGGCGGATGTGACCGAAGCAAGAAATTCTGATGTCGAGATGACCTGCTACAGCCCAAAAGTAGTCTCGCGGGGCTGGCAGCGAAACCACGAATCGTGAGGCTTTGCAATCAGCACGAAGACCTACCTGCCGAAGACGGCAAGCCCAAATTCCTTGCTCAACCCTTTACACGCTTTAGCCAGTAGTCTTTCCCGTTAGCGACATAAGGGCCTTGTCGCGCGCTTGAGCCATGCAGCAATGGCCGGGTTGACGCTGGAGGTGCCGATGAATGGCTTTGAATAAACAACTGCTGAACCCAGCCCACTCTGATACTGTTGTTTCGCTGGCATCGGTGACAGGTGTGGCATCTTCGCTCTGCTTCTGCCCTGCTGTTAGCTGCCGCCGTGCGGTCTTTCGTCGCCTCAGTGGCGGATCCAAGAATAAGGGGGTCCCTGTGTTTTCCAGTGGTTGCATTCAGCTCGGGCCAGGATTGGCTTCATAACTGACAGGCCAGCAAGACTTGTTCCGAACCTAGATGTAGGAATTTTCTTGTCATGTGGGCCGGCACTTCCGAAAGTCCGCCCTGGACTGCTGACCCACGTAAATTTCATGTTAAGGGCCCACTGGCACGTTTACCATTTACCCAGGAAAGCTCCAGCATCCTCCTGGCCGTCTTGGCCCTGCTGCTGTGGCTTCTGGGCTGTAGCATACCAAGGATTTTGTGTTAAATCTGGTATATAGAAAGAACGATGCATAGCGGGCTGGGGCGCTCAATAATTGCGGCATGTGCGGATTTAAGCTTCCCTTGCAATCGTGCTTGGGCTCTGCAGTCCATAGTCTCAACTGAGCTGCGTTTTCTGCCGTCTCTTGACGGAAGATTAGAGCTGGACACAAAACTTTCACTCGATCTGGAAATCGCTCTGGGACTGTGCGCGCGGAAGGGCTGCGGGAGGTGTTGCTCCGCGGAAGGCCGCGGAAGCAACAAATACGTAAGCCGCCACGCAAGCTAATGTATGTCGTGTATTCTTCGGGTTCCAGGATGTTCCAGGTCTTCTTTCAGGAATCCCGAGGCTTTTTCAGGAAGCAAGTTAGCACAATACGTTGAGAGGGGTTTAAGCTCGTGCGGGAGGGTTCGCTTGCGAAACGGTCCGCGGAAGGGCACCCGGAAGGGAAGACATGCAGTGACTCGGAAATGGCAAACGCGTCGCAGAAGGCTGCGGAGGCATTTGCGGAAGGGCTGTTTTGCGTCCTTGGGACTGCAACAGAATTCAAAACACCCCTCAACTGGACCGTGAGTGGGCTTGGCAGATGGTTGGTACAACTTTTCTTGTTGCAAAGGTCCTGGAAGTATTCTTAAAACCTTTGAAAAAATCCATATCAGTACGTTGTTCTTCACTTCAGCAGAACAAGCCCCAAAACCAGTAGACCCGGTTCACCTATGCTTTGGCTAGCTACTCTCGGGCAACGGTCGTGTTTGGTGTTTCTTGTGCAGGCTTCTGTCTGCCCATGCCAGCAGGCAAGATGCCAATCTGCAGGCAAGGTATTTTGAACACCATCTGCTCCACGCGCAGGCATAGCAGATGTATAGAATTAGATGAATTACGCGACTCCAATCGTTAGGCATGCAGCCTCAATGCATACTTTTCATGGCTGTTCTTCCCTGTTCTTCCCTCGACCGCCCTCGACCTTGCACTTGGAACTGCCAGCATGAGATTTGCCGGGTGTAGCTTGCGCCGGGGTATGCCATTCAGCAAGCCTTGATACAAGCGCGGATCCAACAGCCTTGTGAATCCCATCAGTCTCCGGGCAGTGAATCCTCCTTTGCCCTGTGCCTGCAACCTTGGCAGAGGCGCAGCCCACAGTGGTCACGAAGGATGTTTCTCCGGTGCCCCTACAGCCCCCAGCACTTCCAGCACCCTCAAAGAAGGAGGGGGTGCCAGGGGGCAGTTTGGGGTTCCAAATCTCTTGAGATTCTGAAAGGGCATTTTTCCTCGGCACAGCTCAGCAGGCCAAAGTAGGAGTTGCTAAGTACGATGGTCTTGAGGATCGACCTGATGAAGTTGGTAGGTGTGGGCCAGCGAGTGACAGGACAGTAAGCGCAGGGGGCAGAAGTGGTTCCGAACAAGACTGAACTGTCAGAGCGAGGCTGAGCTCGTGCATCTCTATATCTCTCGGTTCATTTCACATATCCGGGTGATGCTGTTTCGCTAGTGCCATCTACAGAGCACATATGCCTGAATCGCAAGCATAAATTGTGTTGTGAAAAGCTATTCCTGTGGTGCATGCATGCATGCCAACGCCAGCGGCCAGCGCCAAAGCCGGTGCCAGCCGCTCCAGCACAGCGGGCCCCGACTTGGGGTCGGAGCGGCGCCAACGCCAGCGCCCGCCTGCCCATGCCAGAGCCGGCGCCACCAGCGGCAGTGCCAGCGCCAGCGCACGGACTTATACAGTTAGCCCCTACACCACTCGATTCATCTCGCTTCTTCCGATTCCGGCAAGTATGGCATCGATGAACATAGTGCTTCCGTGCAGTGTCAGGAAATGGCGCTGCAGAATGCATGTAGTGCATGATGCGCGCCTGGTAGATGTGCGGCAGGGTACATGCCAGAGCTCCGCATGCATACACGCATTTGTTTTGAAATGGCTCCCTCATGATTCGACATGTTTCGCAGGCTTCCTCAAAGCTGTGAGAACCGAAAATCGCAATCCTTGTCAAGCCCAGTCTTCACGCTTTCCGTTCTTATGGTTGACGGTTGGGGCCTGCCGCTGTGTTTGTTGGTCTCGTTGTCCACGCGATGCTTTCAAGCAGGACGATGCGGAGGAGCTGTTCAAACAGTGGACTGGCAACGTAACCTCGGCTGATCCAGTTTGTGGGGTTGATCCCAGCGGCATCCAATGCACTCCCTCCGAGCCCTCGCCCTTTCACTTTCCCGAGGTCATGATGGCCGACACAGGTGTTGCGATGCCCGCAGCACAGATTGCACGAGCCTGGCTGCAGATGGCACGATCCAAAGGCCTCAGCAACCGGGAATCTCAGGGTCCCGTACAAAAGTGATGGCGCTGAACCGCGAGATAATCGTGAAGAAGGTTTGGCAGGTGGGTGTAGGTCGTGTAGGAGACGGCAGGGAAGAGAGAGAGAGAGAGAGAGAGAGAGAGAGAGCGAGAGACATGCAGGGGGGCTTCCCCTCTTGCCCCTAGCCCTGACGAAAGAAAGAAAGACAAGCATGGGGGCTCTACTGATGATTGGAAACACTGCGAGCCACCAACTGTAGCCAAAGGGCTGCGGAGATGAGGCCGGGATGCGGGTGGTTCCTTAGTATTCGGGTCGGGCTCGCCGTGGAACAACCTGGGACAAATTCTGTCCCCTTCTGCAGCGGTCATTAAAGACCCCAATGCCGGCCACTCCATAAAACAGCAGGTGGTCGGGCGGGCCGAAGGCCTGAGGGTCGCTAGAAGATCCCTATAAGCCCGGCAGAAAGAAAGAAGGAGAGACAGAGAGAGAGAGAGAGGGTGCAGGAACCTCGAGCCAATAAACGTTCTAGTCGGCGGCAGTTGCCCCCTCCACAGTAGGATCATACAAGGATGCTGGTTCGATGAAGTTTCCGAGATTTGGCTTCAGACTTTTCAATTGCGAACGTGTCTTTCGTCCAAGCTTGATCCTAGAGTCTCTGCCCCAGTGCTAAGATCTTTCGAGAGGCCATAGCGGCATCCCTTCCAAAAGCAGCTTCTCACCTCTCGCCGCTCTGCTGCACGGACCTATTTCGGCACGGTTTGTCCACAGAACTTTGTGTCACTTGCTTTGCACCTGCAAGGTGAAAGGCAAGCGTCGCATGGGGAGCTCCTCTGACCTCTGTGGGAGCATCACAGAGGCACGCTGCGTAAGGTCGAGTAAGATTTCGTGAGCCTGGTGAAGGAGAGTGACTTGCAGCTCAAACCTGAAATCCAGGTCTGCTTCCAAACCTAGACAAGGGGTCATGACCAGTCCCGGTTCGGAGCAGCCAGGAACAACATTCATCGTTTTAAGGTGTTCTTGGTTCAGTGGGCTAGCTGATGAAGGCAGTTCTAATCCAAGGAGTGAGGAGAAGTCAGGTCGCCCTGAAGATGGAACAGTCCCACTGAACCAAGACCATACCGTAGGCAGAAAGACCTTGTTTTGATCGTACGAGCCCTCGTCAAGAGGGCGATGAGTCCGCCGGAAGCCCGTGGGAGGGGCCCACCGAAGACGCTTTCCATGTGCAGCTTGAGATCCTTGTCTTGCGTTTCAAGCTTCCTTGCCACATGCTGAATGGACTCACCCGTAACTGCAACGTCGAGACTGATCGCAGGCAAAAGACCATTGCAGCACGCTCGTATTGGAGTTTCAAGTCCAGCGAAGTGAAAATCGCAATACCAGGGACAGGCAATGGCAATATGTGACATGCAGGGTCATAGCCGACTCTATCCGCAAGATTGTGCAAGCAAGACTGTCACAATAAGACCACCACGGCATCAAGCTAGGATCACACGTTTAGCACCTTCCTCTTCCTCTCTCCGGCAGTTCTTGATGAGACGCCTTTTGCAACTGGTAAGGAGAGAGTCCAAAACAGAAGACTGGGGCTTTGTTTGGAATCAAACGGCCTTGTCGACCAGGCGCGCGCTCATGGGGAGTGGTAATCGGTACATGCCGTGGCTTCTGTATAGTTGGGGCTGCCAGCCACATTTGTGAGGCGAAGATTTCTCCTGGAATCTGTGAGCAGTCTCCTCAGTACGTCAGCATCATGCAGCATTCGATGAGAGCTCGGCCATGCTTCAAAAACTTGGTGCTTCGTGCTCTGCCGCAATGCATTCCGAGAGCTTTTGAGCTCGTTCGTTACCCAGCCACTGAAGAAGGTCAGAAACGAATCCCACACCCAAGACTCGACTAGAAAGCGGGTGACCCAGGTGAAGGAAGCCCAGCAGCGAGCTGGAACGGCCGCGAGTGCGAACTGGGTCGGTCGACATTGGAGAGCCTCGGCTCGAGTCGGCTTTGTGTTCCTGGACATGGAGTTAAGATGAGTTAAGGCCAAGGTCTTTTTTGACATCATCGGCTTTCTGATTTCATTTTGATTTGTCTTTTCCTGGATGTCCGAACAGAACTAGCAGAACTGCACACCTGCATTCCGGTTCTGTGGGCTTTGGGGGCTGAGAGCGTAGTGCGAGCGGTACTTCCACATGGTAGCGCCACGCCGCGCAAGTAGAAAAGTCCTCACTGCTTTGTCGCACGGCAGCCCTCAATATCGGTGTCGGGAATCGTTCTGACTCACGTTTCTGCAGTCCTGCCGGGCGTCTTAATTCGGTGAGTGTCCAAGCTTTAGCAGAGTTTCGGATGAGACGGCTGCACCGTTCTAGCTGGCTCCGCCTTGTACTGCATCGAGCATGCCTGCAGGCCTGGCAGCACTCTCGTGGTACCTTGGGTTGCAGCTTACGGCAGGCTGAAGACCACGAGCTTTCTCAAAGGGTGGGGCAGAGCCAACTGCTCAGACTTGCCCTTTCCCAGCCTTCATGGAAGTCTAGAACCCATGCGAGTCGTGGCACGAGCACACAGGCCCCAATAAGTATCTCAGTTATGTTAGCTGCTAAGCACAGCCTGCAATCACATCGAGGAAGCGAACTACCTTGCCGGCTATGGGGTTATTCGCCACGAGCTGAATCTCTTTTGCAAATAAGCAGGTGCTCCCGGGATGGCGTTTGTTGGGGGCTACTAGTTCAGTCCAGTCTAGCTCACTGAACAGGCTCAGCTTCACCCATGCCACTGCGGCCAAACTCACAGCTCTGCTAGTCACAAGTTGTCTATTGTAGAAGTGGTGTGGCCCAAACTTCACGCGCAAATTCGCATCCTCAATCTGCTTGAGCTGCTCTTTAACCGTTTTCCGGCTGATGCTTGTCCGAATTTGTGTGGGGTAAGTAGCGAGAGTCTCCTGTTGTGGCTGAGGGATTGCACGTTCCGCTTACAAGGTCGACTGCAACATGGGTGATGGTTCGTGCGAACGCACGAGCAGCATGCAAGACAGGTAGCCGTGCCGCGGGTTCGGAGTACTCAAATTCATGATCAGTTTTTTGGACAGTCCTAGACTTGGACCCTCGGCGTGAGAGCCCATTCGTGTTGACGCAACGATTGGCGAGCACACGGAGACAAAGAATTTGGATGCCACGAGCAGGCCCGACAGCAACAACTCGATCTATGCGCAACCTCCCGAGGATGACGGCCGTCCCATGCTTTTGTTGACATGCCGGATTGTCGAGCAGGCTCTTGTATTGGGAAGAGGCGAAGCGATACCACTTGATTACATGCCTAGAGTCGAGACAACCAGGCCAGAATGTTCAAACCGGCCCAAATCCGCTCACGGCCGGGTTCTCGTTCTGGGCATCCTCATGTCTCACCTGCCGTGCTTTGCCCACAATTCCGAGCTGAACTTGTGCTTTGGGTGGGTGTCTAGGATTTTGCTCGAAGGTCACGAGCTACAGTGCAATTGCATCGATCTTCGAAGTTTGTCGCCGAAGTGCCGCGGGTGTTCTGGCCTTGGGCCGTTTGCAGCATTTTCCCGACGGATCATCGTACTGCATCGTGCCCTCGTGGTCCTTTTGGATCACTGTAGGAGTTTTCAGCATCAAGCGAACGAGCTTAGTTTAAGTCACTTTCGGGACCTTAAGAAAACAGGCCGGATGAGAAAGCTCACTTTGCAGAGAGCTGACTGTCGTGCTGATGGGTTTGTACCAGCCCTCAGACTGACCTTTGGCTTTTGCTAGGCAGGTTGCTGTGCTTGCCCGCGCAAGGAGGAACACCTGCCAAAACAAGAACCTCTAGTCTCGTTCAAAATATCGAATCCATCTGGGAGACGATCGGCGAGGAAGTGAATGTTGGAAGGATGCTCAACAGTCACACCCCTTGCTGAACGCAGCCCCGAGCCGAGAAGGACCCGAGCAATTGAAACACAACCTGTGTGGGAATTTAAGGAGGGAATCGATGCAGCTGCGGCTGACGTTCCTGCGGCCAGCTCCCGACCCGACACCCACAGAGAAAAGGCTGGCCCCTGGCTTGCTTTAGAGGGTGCTGGCTATGGGTCGCTCACCGGTATCTCAGAGGAGGCAGATATCACGTGAGCAAGGGTGTTCGCAAAATTTGTTAGTGCGACTTGGTGGTGTCCATGTCAAGAAGCCACGTAACTAGCAGTGTTTGGGGCGGATTCTTGAAATATCAGGGCCTCGGGAAGCAAGGCGTACCGGCACATGTTCTTCCGCCACCCAGGCCCGTCCACCCTCGTTCCTCCCTTCCTGCCTTCCCTTCCGTTGCTTCATTTTCTTTCATTCTTTTCGGTTCTCTCGGTCTCCCTCTTCCCTATCGCTTCATTCTGTTTCTTTGGTGCTTTCTCTTTCTCGCTCGCTCTCTCTTGTCCAAACTGCTACTGCCAAGCACGAACCACTTGTATACGGGATCGCGTGCATGTGTCGTTTACCCCTTGGCTTTAGCTAAGATACTGTTTACATTAGAAATCAACAACTGTTGTTTAGAAGGCTTCTTTCCAAAGCTATACTTCCCAAAGCAGCTTTCTGAGCGGACACAACCGGGGCTTCCACACCTCTTTACGTTTACAGCGTGTTAGACATGTGTTTGTTGGGGGAGTGGTCCTGAGTTGCTCACTGGCATAATCCAACACGAACCGCCTTGAACCAAGCGCCCAAAGAAGCCGCAGGCTTGTCGGCCTACCCCCGGAGTGCCGAGTGAAGAACTCCTTCTTGGAGGTATCGCCCGTCGATGCTGACGCTGAACCTGCATTTTTCAAGCCCAGAAGCCAAGACATGTGCGGACCTTGACGTGGGTCCTCGGCACCAGCTGTCGACTAAACTGTTTTCGCTTGCACCTCCGTGTGACAAGGACAGCCAGGAAGAAGCGCGGCATTTCTCGGATCCCGGTCCTTGTGCTCAGACGCCCGGACCCACAAAAGCTGAAGGGCTGAGGCGAAGGCGTAGGGCTACCTGTTCGCTGGCATTGAGCAAGGCTCTCACAAAGTCCAAATAGACATACGGGTCTCCTCAGGTTAGACTCTAGTCGTCACTATATCAGCAGGACCTAGGCCTATCGGCTCAAAGTGCAGGTGCGGGCTCCACAGCCACAAATATCGCCACCTTTGGAAGAAGAGCGGTGTGGTTACACCAGGAGTTGGGGCGCCAAAGGTTCCAGAAGCCTTATAGTGCCACGTCCATCCTCCCAACCTGCAGCAAGCTCACCAGGAAAGGCTGCTCATCTTCAGCGGAAGGTGCAGGCCATCCTCCCTCGCTTAAGGTTTCTCGCTCACGCGTCAAGCAGGCAAAACCTCCAGGAAGCGCACGATGCCAAAGCAAATGCGTTCGTTGCAGTACCATAAACTGACATGTGCAGAAGATACGGTGCTTCTCGCCAGGTGTCAGTGCCACTGATTCTCAGCAGCATGATGTTTTCGAGAAACATGCACTTTCTTTCCAAGTTCTTGGGCATCACGGAAGCTTTAGCGCAAGCTCAACTTCCAAATACGTTCGTATCCGAGATTTACTATTGACAGCTGCCGAACTAGTGTTCTACTTTGAGTTGAAATGCCGGGCTACCCTGGTGCTGATCATAGAAGTGTGCACATCCCCTATTCACAAAGGAGTCGCAGATCTGCGGAGCCTTGGCTGCCTTGAAAGCATCCTATCAGACATGACTTCCTCGGATTGGTTTTCACTCCATGAACACCTTCTGTCTATTCTGCGTTACGGTGAATCTGGATTTGAGAATCTGGTGTCGACCCGCTTGTAGTATCTTGTAGTAGTCACTGTAGTTCAGGACTGTCGTCGTCACTGTACGGCAAATCCATGTCCTGCTGCCAGTTTGCGACATGCGTAGCGAAGTCCAACAGGAAGGAGGAGGACAAGAACTTCGTCGAAACAAGAGAGGATGGACTTTATGGTCATCCATTTCAGGCGAAGCAATGCCCTCCACTGCAATATCTCTAGCAACAAGGCAAGGCCCCAAATGGTAATTTCAAATGCAGCAGCCACACAAAAGAAGGCCCGGCACACAAGTCCTTCGAAAAAACGCTTTCGTTGGTTACCTGTGTTGTCCGTGTGTAGATGAACGGCGGCCCATGGCTGAAAGCAGCCCTATCTACCCGTCAGACATTTAGCCTTCTTTGTGTTCCGAGGATATCACACCGAGTCGGAGGCGGTTTCGGATTTGATCGGGACTGCAGCTCTGATCTCTGGGCTTGTGAGGCAGGTCGTGCTCACTTGTGTCCCGATGTTGCTTGCCTTAGGCCTTAGCAGATGGTTAGTCCTGGAGTTGCTGCAAACCAGCCGATAGCTTGAACAAATTTCTTGGGAGCCTTCAGCATGCTCAACAACGATGAATCATCAAATTGGCCATCATGCCGACCCAGGGGCCATCTCCGCAAAGCTACAAGCATGCCGGGGATGTGTGTCAAAGCATCATCATCTATTTCGTGCGAATGCAAACGCGACCAAATTCTGAACGTCTACGCAGCCTTCCTGCAGAGCTCAGCAGGTCGGCGGAGTTCAACGGCAAGTGGTGTCGAATCGATGCCTTTGACCCTGAGGCTCGAGCACTTTGCTTCCACGAAATCCCAAGGTTCGTCGCACAGAACTGTATGCACCGGCATCCGCCAAGCTGCATGCGCAAAAGCAGCTGTCACGGTTCATAAGTGTGAGAGTTGGTGCTAAGAGGGGTCAACATGAAGCGCTTTCGACGCAAATGCCGCGACCAGGTTCGTCGCTACATTGTGCGCGTTTTTCTGGAAGAAGGACAGCCGACTCTTAGCTACAATAGGGATGAGGCTGCTCCTTGGTCCCACCGGGCCGAAAACCATGCACCTGCCAACTGTACCCCTCCGAAGAGCCGAGGCCTGTGATCGCAAAGCTGCGCCTGGAAACTCGGACTCACTCAAGCTCGTTGGATTCCTCAAAGAAAGTTGTGGAAGTCGATGAGGCGGAAGCATAGAAGTATCCATGCCCTTGGCCGTCCTGTGGCGATCCCCTTGCATCGGCCTCTAGCCCTTGGCTATCCTAGCGCTCCAGGGCTGGTGAATGCACCGAGCAGGACTTCTTCAAGTTCGTTGCACGGAGCATCTAAGGAAAACCTGTCTTTTGGGCCCACATTTGCCCTGGCCTCATCGGCGACACCCGCATTTCATCCTTTCGCCTGAGACCCAGAGCATTGGAGTTGGCGCTGGGGTGGGGTGGGGTAGAGATGAAGAGGATTTGAAAAAGTTGCCGAATCATGAAATTGCGGTTTTAGGTGAGGGCAGCCTCGGCTTAAAGCCCTCTGCAGCACTGGCCCACGCGCAGAACGACCGACACATCTGTTCTGTGCAGGCCCCGCCGAGTGCTGCTGTTGCTGAGGATCTCTCGGCCTGGCCCTGGGGCCAGGCTAACTGGCCCTGGGGCATCCATGCAGGACCCCGCTTTCGCTGTTCTCAGGAGAATTCGGGGTTCGAGTGTTCTGGATTTCGTCTTCGGTGGCGCATTTCGCGGTATTGCTGAATCCCGCATTGGCTAGCCGCTTGCCTGGATCCAACCGGCGTTGCGAGGGAGGGTTCCAGCTTCACTACAACCATCGCTACTGTGAACCCGATTCAGATCCCTGCACCAACGCTCCCCCCGAAGGCATGACGGGCACCATGGAAGGTTGCATGCCTATCGGCATGGAGGCAGATGCTTGGCAGGCCGATGGTAGATTTGTCTTGGGCTCAAAGGCCTAGCGAGGCATTCCTCAAATTCTGAATGGTTCGGCTGGTGTGCAGCCATCAAGTCGGCATGTTAGTTCTTAGGCTGCGCACGGTGGCAGTGAAGCACACCAGCATCACTAGCAGTTTTCTTTTAAGACGAACACGAATTGGTTGCTTGAAGGCAGCGTGCGAAACGAACTGCAGTAAATGTCCATGCGAGTGTTCGCTTAGTTTGGTGTTGGTGAATTCTGTGGAGTCGCATGGCGATCTTCACCGCCAAAGGAGCTGGTCAGGCTTTTGTCAGGGTTGTCACAGACTAACTTGCGCTGTCAAGTACGGAAGACGGTCTACAAGGAAGGCACGGTTGAATCGACATCATCCATCTAGCGCCTTGCAGCTTGACGGGACGTCCACTGCCGTCCTGAAAAGGTGCCTGCCGAGTGGGCCTCCTATCCATTTGGCCCCCCGGGCCTACCCCCGACAGAGGCGCCAGGAGAGACTTTTGGACTTGGGTTGAGATTGGGGATCTTGCAGCTTCAAGCTCTGAGCTCTGCAGCTTTATTAAGAACCTTGCCGCTGAGCTGCCAAGAGCTACTGTACATAAAAAGCCTTGAGGACTACATCCTCTTTCAGCCGTGCGAAATGCATGTGCTCTTTTTGGCGTAGCTTCGATTCTCCAGGTCATGAAGCAAAGAGAAACAGGGAACGGAATGCGACGCGAGGCACAACAAAAGCACGCCCTGTCTGCTCGCAGGCCGCCGTGATGCAGAGTATGCCGCCGCCTCCAGCGACGCCACTCTGCATCCTGCCGCTCTGCGAGCAAAGCACGTAAAAGGTTTAGAGAGCGCTTCGAGTGCAGACCTACGATTTCGACCTGTGCCACACAACGGCTTGCCTCGGCCAGGCCCACGACCGGCCAGCACTTCGCGCCGTCTGATGCTGCTGCTGCTGCTCCTAACACTGCAGGCATGGCAGAAAATGCAGGACCACGGGAACAAAAACTCATGATTGCACCTGCCTTGGCGTGTGCTGCAGGGGATTGCGCAGGCCTTCGATTGTTGCTACTAGCCTGCATGTGTTGCAGGAGAAAGTCACGAACGCCCTCCTCAGATACACACTCATCAGGCGGGGTAAGGAGTGAAAATACATAGACTAAACATTCGCAGGCACCGAGGGGGGACTGGTAAGTGTCACAGACCAGGTCCTTGAGCAGCAGCTGATCCAGCAGCACCTTCAAGTGCTACAGCAGAGTGCAGCTCCCGATGTGCAGGCAGCTGGATGTTTTAGGCTTCAGCTCTTCAGGTAGGGTCATTTCCAGGACCACTTGGATGATTTAGTGAAGCATGTTGGCGCAGTCCGAAACTAAGTATTTAACTTCCGGTCGGTCGTCTGCTCGCTGTGCTGGGAGCTTCAAGCATTTGTCGATGGTAGGTTCCGTATTCTGGTGACGTCCATGCGCTGGTTGATTGCCACCTTGCTACAAGATCGATGTTTCAAGACCACATGATCCGCACCTCTATGCCCAAAAAGTTCAAGGCGAGCACTAACCTTAGGATTTCAACACGCTAGCTCACCGACCACCTTTTTCCCAAAAACCCTCGAAGTTCTCCTTTAGATTCAACAGCGTGGGCGGCGATACTGTACTGGGTGCGGCGCGGGAGAGAAAGCGTTTAGAGTCTTCGGCGTCCCAGGGATCCGTAGGCGTGCGACGCAGGGCGTCGGCGGGGTTCCACCGGAAGCGGTCCGGGGTGTGGCGCGGCGTGTTCCAGCGGGCGGGTCGCGATATGTCGCGATACACTGTGCTTCACGGCGTGTTGCACCGACCCGTCGCGATACGGGGTGCGGCGCGGGCTCGTTCCAATGGCGCGGCTCGCGAAGAGGGGTTCTGCATGCGCGGCATGCGGGGGGCTTCCACCCGTGCATGGAAGTCGCGAATACTGCCTTCACTGCGAGATTTGCTTTGTGGATGGTTTTGGGTTGCCAGGTTGACCTTGTTTGTTTGACACGAGAAGCTCTCATTGACTGCCAACTCAAGGAAGGTGAGCCGCCGGTGTCGTTGCATTCGTTCTTTGATCTGCTAAACATAACGAGTGGGATGGAGTCAGGGATGACCCGGATCAAAGTCGCTCTGTGGTGAGCCCATCCCTGCCCCTGCGCCGGGTGCTCGTCGGACGGCAAACGGTCTGAGCAGGCCAGATAGGAAGAAACCTATCGCATCAGCCTGACAACCACAGACTTGAGCGAGCCGCCCCTGGGGTCCCAGGCAGAATCGCTGCAAGAAAGGGCAAACAAAGCACCACAGACCCAGGGACTAAATCTAACCATCTCGGCCTGAACTGGCGACACTGCCAACCAAGTGCCCGAACAAATGATGTGCGTCACTACACAGAGAATTCGGAACCCAGGAAGTCGCGATTCCATCTTAGCCGCACTGTTTCTTCTTGGACAGCATGCATTACGGTCAATGTGGGAACCTGCAGCTACGAATGCCCTTGGTGAATTAAGACTTGAAAGTGCGTAGTGTGCAAGCAGCAGCTCATGTCTCCCTGGTTGGGCGGGTCTTGCAGGAAGCAGTGCAGCCATCGGTGAGCTCCTCGCAACAGCTGCTTGCACGAAGAGTTTTCTTGCTGGCGTCGACGTAAAGCGATTGTTGGACTGGGCCGGTAGCTGATTTCCCTCGCCACAGGCTCCTTAGTGCCAGCAGCCTGCAACAAGAGGCTGGGCGAAATTCAATGGCATGATAATGAGAAGCCTCATTACGAAGCTAATCGCGATGCCGCAACTTCTGCAGGCAGTTTGTCAGATTGGGAGTTCCGGATCGTGGCTTCCTTAAGAGCACGACTTCGAAGCAAGAAGTGCGCACTGTTCCTTACCCGCTCCCCAGATCTTCCATCGTGGGAACTTCTTAAACTTCAATATGTCACACAACCTCACTCCTGCACAGCTCTAGGCGTCACCATGCCGGGCTGTGCAGGATTCTCCCCAAAGACCGCAGGCTGAAGAGCCGCAGGCCCCACACGAGGAGGATGTGGCAGAAGGCAAGAAAAAGCCGGGAAACTCAGACACATTGGCTCAACATTTCCGTTGGGTCGGTAAGTGTTATCAGTTCGTGCCAAGAGGTGCTATCAGCAGAGGGTCGACTTAAGCTTTTTCTCGATGGTCGGCAGCGATTAGGGCACAAACAAGCAACAGCGATGTTGAGCTGGTGAGGCATGTCGAACAAGCCCAAAATCGCACAGAAACCTTAAGACATGGCGCTGAGGCGGCGGCGCAGGCGACGTGGGAAGCGTAAAGGTCGTGGCAGCAAGGATGCGCAGGAGCGAGACTATCCGCACTTTCAGAATTCTCGTCTACGCACTGTGCCAGGTGCTTTCGGGGATGCAAGGCGGAAGATTGCCTAATTCGCTTGCCTCCCTCCTTGTTCTTCGCACAAGCATGATCAAGCATGGCTGAATGTCAGCCGCAGACGGATTGCCCCACGAAAATCAACGGCCCTGAATTTCCCCGTGTACAGAGTGCACTAGACAGTGCACTCTTTACAGCATGCCTGCAAGCAGAGCCTGCAGCAATGAATAATTGAATAGCAAACAGAAGGTAGCATGGAAGCGTAATTAATGTGGCGCGAAATTCAAATGTCAACCATGCGAAACCATGCCGGGAAGACAGAACCACAACCCGCTCTCGTAGTCCAGGACGCTGAGGACGACGATGAAGAAAGTGATGTGGCAGAAGAGCCGAGACTTGGTGCATGGCTAGTTCGTGGACTGTGCTGTTCTGTCGAAACTTATGTCTAAGCCTGGGGTCTCAGGCATGACACAGAGAGCAGCATGTGGTTGACACCCGATGTTGACTGTAAGGGCGCTTTGTCGATGTTCCTCAGAATGGCTACATGCCCCGGTTTCACCTTTGCGTTGAAAGGGCAGGCCATGTTAAATTGACATGGCACAAACCAGCTTTGTGTATTGCCCTTGCCGATGCATCAGATAATCTTGGCCATGCTGGTGTGTAAAGCCACCAGCCAGCCATTCTTCTTGCATGAACTTGACAGCGACAGTGCATGATTCTGCTTTCAATTCTGAGGAGCCCCGGAAACGAAGCGGATGTGCTGACCTCTCAAAGCAGACACGCAAGCACCCCGCAACCGACGGAGGTGACCGGGCAGGGTTTGCTCACTTCGAGGCTTCATTGCAAGGATTTTTGCTGGAGCTTTGAAATCGGAAGCCAACGCAAGAGAAACTTCAGGTAAAGACACTAAAGTGTTCCTCGTGTCGTATGATCCCACCACCGCCGCCACCACCACAACAACAACATTATGAACAATCCTAATGACAATAACAGTTGTGAAATCCTGCTCTGTTAGTGAGTCCGTGTTGACGTTCCTGTATAGATGTAGTTCTTGCAGTACTTATAATAGTGCTAGAGTTTGAGTTGCAGTGAAACGGATGTACATACTGCAGACGTCTTGAGACCAAAGCAGCAGCTAGGAAAAGCTCGATTGCACCTAAATCCCCCAGCTACTTCGCTTTCCAAAC